GTTGATGAAAAACAAGCTTATGTGGATTCTACACATTTAAACAATTCAGATAAGTTATCTATAATTATTTATGGAGCAGATAAAATGCATATAATCATTTATTAATCAATTATCATTTTGACATATCTTTTCTTTATTTAAAGGCTGAAATGTGAGGTTTACCTTTTTATGAAACTTTTTCAAAACTTTATTTGAACATTTACATTAGATATTTCAACATGCTATTAAACTTTTGTCAGTCAAGTTGTCATTTAAAATCCAAACATCATTGGTAATGTTATTGTTTTAGTGATTATGCAAACAAAAAGTAATTTTATTTGTTGTTTGTTGATTTTTAAATATAAAACTTGGTGAAGTGACTTGTGTCGGTACTTTTTTAACATCTCCAGCACATTTTAACAATACCGTGATAATACGGATAACCGTGATAATTTCGGTCACTATAACCGTGATAAGAATTTTTCATACCGTTACATCCCTAGCTGAAGGTGAGGTACTCACCTTCATATTTCTTAATTGAATAACTTATAAAGTAATTTGAAAACCTTGTGTGAGACGTAATTTCACAAACAGCATGAGTGAATCACCGCGCGCTCTTTCTCTCTCAAAATACGCAATTGGCTTCAAATAACCACACATCGCGTCTGTCTATAAGCGAGCTGCACAGTTGACACAGGAATTGTTACTTGCACGGTCGAGGCAGTGTCACATCGTCACTAAAGTTTATAAATTGCATTTCTTTTTAATTCTTGCCAGTGTTTAACCATTGTCTTCAGATCACCACACATCGTGTCTGTCTATAAGCGAGCTGCACGCTGCACAGTTGACACAGGAATTGTCACTTGCACAGTCGAGCCAGTGTCAAATTGCATAACTTTTTAATTCTTGCCGGTGTTTAACCATTCATCGCTCGCGCGCTCTCCTGAAGACCATGCGCTCATGCACACTCGCAGCGCACACACATAACGTCAGGTTCACATTACTCCGTTTGCAGTGCGTATTTTTCAGCGCTCATGTTAATGGATTAAAGCGTTCACACTGCACACGGTTGCGGTCCGGCAGTGCGTTCCAGGAGCGGTGCGTCTGCAGTGGTGC